CTTCTATAAGCAATTGTTTGGGCATTTTCTCTACGCAATTAAAACTCAAGTAAATCGGGAAATTTTGGGCCGGGGAGGTATTTTTATTATCACCCGAATTATTGAATGCACACTTACATTAGGGTGTGGGGTTCAGTATTTTCGGTTTAGGATTTACGGTTTGGGGTTTGGGATTTAGGGTTCAGGGCGTGGCATCTAGAATCTAGCATTCATTATTACGTTTGAAGGTTTAGTAACAGTATTTCGGGTTGTGAGTTCAGATTTGTACCGAGAAGATGGGGGAGGGACTCACAAAAACCAAAGATCTCAAACTCCGTGATGTTACATTCCTTACATGAAGCAGGCATGTAAGCCCTGAATCCTCATCTCCACTGTAGGGTGGGGTCGGTAAGGTTCTTCTCTTAAAAGACATTGGGATTGGGTTCTCTGCAAAATAAAGCCAGAATGACACTCCTCGTAGCCCTGCGCGAAGAGGTACTGCTCCATCCTGGGACAGGGCCAGGCTTCTCGACGTCAGGGCACAAACGTTTAAGGTTTAGGGTATCGGGTTTACGGTCTGTTATAGTATCTATAGTCAGGGTTCAGCAGTAATGGAGGCTTCTATCTTCGTCCGGAACATGACGTTAGTCTTTGACCATTTAAACGGGGGAACAAGAGGCAGCTGCATCGCGGGTCCAAAGTTCAAAGTCTTTCAGAGCCTTAGATTTTCAACGCCTTGTTTCAACCCTACACCCTCAACCCTACGCTCTAAACCCTAAACCCTACACTCTAAACCCTAAACCCCAAACCCTACACTCCACACCCTAAATCCTAAACACCAGACCATAGGTTAGCTTAGCTACGAAGTCCCAACTCGAGGCAGCAACTCTGATGTCATCAACAGTTTCCGGACACCCTGACCACTCTACTTTTGATGATAAAAATTCTGCATTACCTTACGGACCCTGAACGATGGGAATTATAGGTATCTTCCCTATTCTGGGAAATGCAGGATTTATGTCATCATCCGTACCACACCGGTTCAGGTTGTACGCATTGTACGCGTTATAGGTTTAGGGTCTGTAAAGTTTGTAGAGTTTGGGTTTTGGGGTTCGGGGCTTAGGGAACACTATACCGCACTATAAAGCATGCGCTTCGCTGGTCGGTGTTCAACAACATGAAGCCCAAATTTCAGCAGCCTTCGGGGAATATTACCAAATGTTGTGAATGTCTAAAACTAAGCCCTAAGGGTCCATGTACCCAAATATTTATTATATCTGTTGAGTTTGACCCAAAAGTAAACCCTACAAGCCTGTATAGGTACTTTCAGGCCAAAGTATATACTATTTGGGCACGTGGACCCTTCGGCTAGCTTCCGCGGAAGACAAGGACAATCCAACTGGAATGCTCTCAGGGGAGGGTAGGGCATGCTTGATGTTCCGCACTGGTTAGCTGAACTCTCTCGGAATGCGGATCCCTTCCAAGATCCACAAAAGAAGGCGACACTCTTGCAACAGCTAACCTAAAGAAGGATACCAATCTGGAGAAATCCCTCCCGCCCCAAATCAACCAAACCTAACCCCTTAACGTTAAAACCTAAACCCTAAAACGCTCTGAACCCCAAACGCTCCTAAACCCTAAGCCCTATCACAAGGTCTTGCTCTTGCTCTTGTTCTTGATCTTGCTGCGCTCAAGGGTATATGGAGCCTCGCAACCCTCCCTCCTAGTTCAGAACAGGTTTCAAAGGGCAGGGATGATTCCGGGAGGATTCGCCCCTATGTGCTTTCATTATTAGGGGGGGGGGGTGTTTAATAACAGGGGGCACTATCGAACCCACCGTTCCACCGGGTCCCACACTCAGACATTTCGGAAAAGTCTGGGATCATGATCGGCCCCGCTTCACCCACAGACTGCTCCAAGTTCAGCTGAACGACCTCTCGCCAGAACTTCACAACACTTCAGCCGGAACTCACAGATGCTAGTCTGGGTTCTTTGTTGAGAAGTTCAGCTTGTTAAGTTGCCAGACGAGGGATCTATAATTACTAAAGACAGGGTGTCCTGATCCTGGAAACTTAACTACGCCACTTGACACGAACCCAGTGGTGCTTCTCTTGTCGACGTCATACGGGTAGTTCTCTAAATTACGGTCCCTTTTAGGTCCCCAATATCATACGGCACCCTTATAAACAGGACCCCAAAATAAACCCTAAAAAAACCCTAAACCCTAAACCCTTAGAGAACTGCCTTTAATCAAGAGAAGGGAGCGGGTCCTTGGCCTGGTTTCTCGGATACCTCGGCCTCGGCCTCATCTCAAAACCTCGGAATAATCTTTAATTCAGGGTTTAGGGTTTAGGGTTTAAAACCTCAGAATAATCTTTAATTCAGGGCGCCGATCTTCGAAAACCACAAGGGCCAGAACGTATCCTTGAAACGGTTTTTATAGTGTTAGCATGGGGGGTCTTGGAAAGATTGGAATAGGGTGTGGGCGGTATGTTGTCATACCGGAGACCTTTTGACTGCCTAACAGCTATGGGAACGTGCACGGCTGACAGATCACGCGTGAGGTTTTCTAGGGTTTAGGGGATCCTGGCTGAAACAAAACGTTTCGGAAGTTCCCAATCTCGTATGAGCCCAACAACTTGGGAGAATCTAAACCCCAATTTGCGAAATTCTCAACTCTAAACCCCAATTCTCCTAATAAATCCTAAACCCCAATTCCCTTAATCCGAACCGCCTCTCGAGCAGCCGGAAGCAGTATTCCTACGAGCTGCTATATAGACCCTAACTTAAAAAAATTGAAACTCCAACTGCAAGGCCGTCAAACCCCAAGCACTAAACCACCTTAGGACCCTAAGATTCCTAAACCCTAAAACCTAAACCACCTGAGACCCTAAGACTCAGAAGACCCTCAGACCCTCAGACCTCAACCCGCGCCTGACCACCATGAGCCCTTTCAGCATCCATGCCAGATTCCTCTCCATGGCCAAAGGCGTAGTCGGGGCCCTGAAGAGCGCAAGGATCGGGGCAAGAGACAAGGCCTAAACCCTAAACTCTAAGAGGAGAACCCTTAAAGGTCCCGTGAAGGTTTCCTTTCAGACTTCTCTTCGGGTTTCTCTAAGGGTCGTAAGGGTCCCTTTAAGGGCTCCTTCAAGGGTCCAGTAAGGGTTCTATAAGGGGTTCCTATGGGGGGACCTTATTATAGAAGCCCCTAGAGGTACCCCTTGCAGGGGACCCTGGTATAGAACCCGAACGTACCCTTTCAGGGTCCCTTTCAAGGTTTCCTTTAACACGGGGGCTTCTCTTAACATGGATTTGGGGTTTAGGGTTTAGGGTGTTGCTGTCGCAAAGTGCGTGGACAAGAGAGTTTGACAACATGGTTTCGGGCTTCGGGCTACCCCACTCAACCATTCACCTTAAACCCTAACCCTTAACACCCCAACCTTTCCAAACAAGACCGATGAGGCCTGAAACATTTGGAATCCTAAAGCATGAAAATCCGACGTCCGAAACCCTAGGCCTATACTTTTCAATACATCCCAAACAACTCCCGCAGCACAGCTGCTGAAAGGTTGGGAGCTTCACGGCTGGTTGCAGAGGTCGAGGACCCAGTCATGTTTGTTGGCCTTGGGGCTCCGTGGAGTTCAGGGCACCAAAAACGCCCGACTACGCCAGTCGCCTACAGAATGGGCCGCTAGCTGGCCTCACAGACTAGATATGGGTAGCTCTCTAAATTAGGGTCCCGTAGTATATTTGGACCTAAAACGGGACCCTGATTTATAGAGAACTACCCATATCACTGAAAGTCACCCCAAGTTTCAACTCCCCGGATCCCTTCGGAGCCCCTCAAAACCCAAAGAACCCCAAAGCCCTAAACCCTAAACCCTAGGCACCCGAACAAAGAAACCTGAAAAGCCAGAAACAACCTAAAACTCCCAACGCCCCAACAAACGCAAAAGCCCCTGAAGCATACGTCAGCCCGAAAGCCCCGAAACACCCCTAACAAACACCCTACAACTCCCGAGATGTATTGGGCAACCTAAAACTCCAAAGACCCCCGGAGGTTGAGGGCTTACAAGGCTTAGGAAAAACACACAACCCTTAAACCTTAAACTGCCTGAAACCTCAGACTGCCCAAAACCTGAAACCCAAAAAAGCTGCAGCCCTCAGGCCTCCGAGAGCTCTTGCGGCATGTAGTAGCCATCAGACCTGGGAATCGAGGTTTAGGTTTTAGGGTTCCGAGGTTAGGGTTTAGGGTTCAGGGTTCAGGGAGTAGGATTTAGGGTGCTTTGGGCACCTTTTGTTTGGTTCAGGTCTCCTTTTCAAGGGCTTTAAGCTTCATGCATGCCTTTCTTTTGGGTTCAACGGGGCTCGAAAAGGGGGCTCTCTAAGGGGTCCTTAAGTACCTAGAGTTCAGAGTTCAGGGAGCGCGCTCCGGGGTTGAATTTAGGAGCTTTAGGGCTTAGGTGGGGAGTCTGGGACTTTGGGGCTTTTAGTTCGGGGTTCAGGGTTTGAGGGTTTAGGGTTTGAGGGTATAGGGGATAGGGTTTCAGCTTCAACTAAGAGTGAATTAGGGAGGACTAAGCAAGTACGTTCTGTGGTCTGTCTCAGGCTGTGGTGTGGGATTGCAGTTTAAGCAAAGGCTTCAGAGTTCACAGTTGACGGCTTTGGGTTAGCATCTTCAACTAACTCAGGGATGTGCCCGTGTGAACTAACTCTGACAAAAACCGCATAGTCAAATCCCCCCTAAACCCCTAAACCCTGAACCCTAATCTCCTGAACCCCTAAACCCTACGGTTGATGGTATAAATCCTGCATTACCCAGAACAAGAAATATATCACAATTCCCATAGTCTAGGGGTCCTTAAGGCAATGCAGGATTTATATCACCAACAGTATGAGTAGCGCATCTTCAAATCTGAGCGAACTCACCGTGGTGCTCCGGAGCTTCTGCAGTGCTAAGCTCCCCACATAGCGAAGTCGAAGTTCACATGCTCCGAGCTGTCCTGTAGAGGCGTGTAGCATCCTTATCAGAATAGGGATCTTACAGGGTTTCGGACATTCTGGGCAAAAGGTAGATGGATGAATTCTGAGGACCGGTTTGATACTGGCGGTTGCGGTAATGGCAGGAATGAAGCAAGAGCTGCAAGAGTACAAAAGATACGGAATCAATGCATAATGTCGATAGCAATCCACCCCCTGGATGGTCGTTCCTGTCATAAAGTACCTGCCCGTAAGAAACTCTCAGGACTCCAAAGCCACCCCCCCCGGGCCCCAGGCCCCACACTCCCAGACCCTGATGAAGGGACATGAATAAGCATAGAGTTCCTTGAAAGGGTTCCAGTGCCCAAATCCGCAAAAATCCCAAACCCCAAAGAAGTCCCCCCAGGCCTCTGTCCAGGGCATCATCCATGCCTGCTCCTCCATCGTGTTCGCACCCATCCTACCTCTTGACCTAAGGCTGTTTCTCCGCCTGAGAAGGACTTCTCCGCCTGGGAGGGACTAGACGTGATTACCGAGTGCAAAAACCTTCGGCATTCGAGGTGTTAGAAGGATAATGCAAAGGCTTTCGGCAAGTTTTCCGGATATCCACAAGTAGTGTTGAAAAGCACTGAAATGACCCAATGTTGTGTGTACACAACACACCTCCTCTACCCCAACTCCACCTGGAAAACCGTGCCACTGGTCTTGAGGCCAACTGTGGCTGCGGGCGATCTCACGCTCATATCATGCTTGGCCAGACCCTTCTAAACCAGACCAAGAGCCCTTAAACCCTAAACCCTAAAACCCTAAACCCTAAACCCTAAACCCTAAAACCCTAAACCCTAAACCCTCAACCATCGCTGCAACCCCGAGTTCAGGATTTAGGGTTGGCTTCGGCTTATTCAGTGATTCGGCGCTCAGAAATGCATTGTCATATGGTTTCAGGTTTAGGGTATAGAGTTTAGGGTTTAGGGTCATTTGGGGACCAAATCCTCTGCTCTACATCCTGCAACGAATAGTTTCCCTAAACCTTGGAACCCCAAGATCGTGCACCTTGAACTCAACATCGTCATGATCAATCCGAAGCACGACTGTCCATTTGGGGGTTTCCGAAAATAGGGGACCCTAATATAGTACCCTAAATAGTAGGATCCTTATTATAAGGACCCCAAATAAGGTACCCCTAATTTTCGGAAAGTCCCTAGATTTGTGAGTTGTTGGCGGGCGCGGCATATCGCCTGCCGGCCCTCATCTGTGAAATCATGTGGGCAATGGCGAGGTCTCAACTGGTGTTCACGGCAATTGCAACTATCCTTGCGAGACTATTGGAGCATCTTGATATACCGAGAAGTAGTTTAAAGCCACGCCGGGATCTGCGAAGAAGGATCGAGGATAGGCGGATTCGGGGTTGTGAGTGTTCAAGAGGTGGAACTTGCATGTATAGCACCCTGACCAGGTAAGACGTGTAGCGAGAGTCGTGTAGCGAGAGTCCGAGTCTCTGTGCCCGTCTGAAGCGAACTGACGATGCCTGAAGCGCTTGCGGTTAAACAACCATAGAAATGGCACTGGGTTCAGAATTCAGAAGAAGCCACAGAGACTATGTGACGCACTGCAGCAAAACTGCCCACACAGTAGGAGAGATCACAATCACCAAGCCCTCGGCCGTGACTGTGACCCACAACCTGAACCCAACGCCCTAAGCCCTAAAACACCCTAAACCCCAACCCCTAAACCCGAAGCCCTACAACCCCTAAACCCAAACTTCAAAACCCAAAGCCCCAATCCCGTTTTACATCGCTGCGGTCGTCTGCTCTTCTGGTAGCAGCCGGTAAGCTCGAGCGGGGAGCCTCGCGTACTCCAGAGCCTGGGCTTTAATGGGATGTCAAACGTCCGAGGCCTAGGGCCCAGGGGCATAGCCTGATATAGAGCCCAACCGTCTCCTGGGTTCAGGGTTTGGGGTTAGATTTAGGGTTTAGGGTTTAGGGTTTAGGGTTTGGGGTTTAGGGTTTAGGCTTTGGGGTTAGGGTTTAGGGTTTGGGGTTCAGGACACAGTTCGGGAGCAGTTTAGGCACTATTGGGTTGCAAAGCTTTCCATCTGGCTGTTTCGTATGTTGCATGAATTAGATTTGGGTTTGGGGTCTCTTATAGTATTGAACGTGTGTGGACGTTAGGGGGTCTACTCCTACTCTTTCTAATTCTTTAGACCTCTGCAGTATGGGGTCGATGAAGGCTCGCATCTCGGGGTATAGGCAGTGGGGTCTGTGGAATTCGGTTAAGGGTTTGGGGCTAAGGGCTTCACCAGCCATGTGCCAAGCCTCTTCCTTTTCAAGTTCCACACCCTGATCTCCAAACCCTGAAGGCCCCGAGCAAATCGTTGGAACTCGAAACCGAAAGAAGCCGATAGTCCTTCGCATCTAACCCAGGTCCTGAACCCCGAGCCATACACCCTAAAGCTTTAGCATCTTTTTTCCACGGGCCACCGGGACTTTCAGAGATCCGGCATACCCTAGGCCCAAAGCCCTAAACCCTAAACCCCATTTCCCTAAGCCCTAAACCTGAAACCCTAAGCCCAAAGCCATGAACGCTATAACCCTAAACCCCTAATCCATATAAACCCTAAACCCTAAGCCCAAAGCCCTGTAGCTCAAAGCTCTTTTTTCTGCGGCGGAGTCTGCGCGAGGGTTGGGGATTGATGGGAGTTTCTGGGTTCAGAGTCGCGGGTTTGGGGTTTAGGGCTTCAAGTTAAGGGTTTAGGGTTTCGGATTTAGGGTTTAGGGTTTGCGTTTAGAGTCTAGGGTTTCGGATTTAATTTAGGGTTTAGGGTCTCGGGTTTCGGATTTAGGGTTTAGCGTTTAGGCGTTTAGGGTTTCGAGTTTGAGGATTGTACAAGGTCTCGGGGGCTTATTGTACGGATACTTAGGCGTGCTCAACTAAAGGGGGGGGGGGGGGGAAGTCGGTGCCTAAACCCTAAACCCTAAACCGTGGCTCAGACTGTGAACCACCACATCCAGTCCGGTCCCACGTCCAGCGTCTGGCCCGGGGGGACATGCTGCAGGATGACCTGGGAGTCTGGACCCCCGCTTGTCTGATCAGTGCTGCCTTATAAGCCTCAAGCTTGGATGGGAAGGACAATAACAATAATGATAATATGTAATAATATAATGATAATGACAATAATAGTACAAGTAGCAACAATAGCAACTACAGTATAACAATAACACCAATATTAAGAATAATAACCAGAATACGGATACTAACCATGACAGTAGCTGGGCTTCAAGGCTCTATGCTTCTGGCCTCCAGACCCAAGAAACGCGAAGAGCCCGAGACCAGATCGCTGCTCCCTCGTTCCGAGGCTTACTTTAGGAACGGAAGCTCCCTCAAACCCTGTTAGGGTTGAGGGTTTAGGACCGGAGATGCAGTGCCGCCTTCAGGCTAGCCTGCGCTCTCCCTCCCTCAAACCCTGTTAGGGTTTAGGGCTTAGGATTTAGGGCTTAGGGTTTAGAGCCGAAAAGCTCCTGAACCATGAAAGCCAAACGCTAAGCGCTAAAAATTCCCAGACCCCACGAAATCCAACTCTTGCGTTCCGGAGTGTACTGATTCATGAGGAGCTTATTTAGGGTCAGGGTTTAGAGTCTGTGCGGGTGAGGCAGAAACCCTCCTGATCATCTGAGTCTTAGGGTTTCGGATCATCAAGAACCCACAAAAGAACCCTTATGCCCATGTAGCAACCCTGATGGTACCCCCAAAAAGAACCCTAAACCCTAAACCCTAAACCCCAAACCCTAAACCCTAAACCCAAAACCCTAAACCCTTTAAAAGGAACCTGGGAGGTTCCGGCCTGCACGTAGTCGGGGCTGTGTGGCAGGTCATGGCCACAGAGGATGCCACCCTTTCGCACCTTCGGCCTCGCAGGGCTTTGGGCTTTGGGGCTTTTTGGGGGGGTCCTACGGCTGATGATATTATAAATCCTGCATTACCCATAACAAGGAAAAATTCCATAATTCCCACAGTTTGGGGTCCTTAATAGGTAATGCAGGATTTATATCATCAACCATATAACCCTGTAAACCCTAAAGCCAGGAAGCCTCTAGGGCCCAGGGTTTGACGTAGGTTTAGTGTTTAGGGCTTCGGTTTTAGGGCTCAGGGCCTTTTGGAGCTTCGGGTTGATAGGGTTTGGGAGTGAAGGTTTCGGTTCTTGGGGGCTTCTGGGCTTCTGGGACTTGCGGGGTGATATAAGGGACTAAATAATTACCAATATTATTTTGGGGGTTCCTTATTATAAAGATAGTATACTGGTCCCCAAAACCCTATTCTAACTATTCAGACCCCGACACAAAACATCCCCAATAGACCCTAAACCCGAAACCCTAAAACCCTAAACCCTAAACCCTAAACTCTAAAACTCTAAAACCCTAAACCCTAAAACCCTAAAGCCCTCAAACCCTAACCCCTAAACCCCATGGGGTTGCAGGACCTTCGGGCTTCAATAGGGTCGAGCCGAGAGCTGCTATTTAGCTCTCCATCAAAGGCCCACAGTTCAGGCTTTGTGGGTTTAAGGTGTAGGGGGTTTAGGGTTTAGGGTTCAGGGCTTAGGGTTTAGGGTATAGAGGTAGCGGTGCGTAGGGAGTTTTTGGGGCAAGTTTTGGGATTGAAGTTTAGGGTTTAGGGCTTTTGGGTTGGGGGGTTTCAGGAGGGGTTTTGGAGAGCGTGGCCTCTGGACAAGACCCTCCACCATACAAGCTCTGACCCCTTAACTACCCCCAAACCCCAAACACTTAACCGTCGCACTAATGTAGGGCAGTAATCTTTAGAATAAGGAGCCCCCAAAATAATATAGGTAATGATTCAGGCCCCTATATTCGGCCCTCACACCTTGATGTTCCGAAGCTTTGCCCTCCCAAATGGCCAGGAAGTTTCCAAACAACGGCGATGTTGGGATCCTCAGTATCAGGACCCCCAAGGTAAGGGACAGCCAATAATAGTGTGATGAAGCCCTATGAAGCCTAAACCCTAAACCCTAAACCCTAAACCCCGAAACCCTAAACCCCGAAGCTTAGGCCGTAAATCCTAAAGCCTATAAGCCCTATGAAGCCTGAACCCTAAAACCCTACTAGTAATAAGACCTACTCTGAACCCCTAAGCCCTAAACCCTGAAACCCGAAACCCCTAAACCCCTAAACCTCTGAAACCTGAACCCTAAACCCCAAGCCCCTATAGATCCCTTTAAAGGAACCCCTATAGATCCCTTTAAAGGAACCCTTATAGATCCCTTTAAAGGAACCCCCTATAGATCCCTTTATAGCCCCAAGCCAAAAAGACACTCGGAAGTTGCCTGAAGATGGGGACATTCAACTCCCTCACGGGGCCGCCATCGAGGAAAACCAGGTCCTTGGCTTCGCGGGATAAAGGGGGGCCCCTTTTAAAAAAACGGTTTAGGGCTTTAGGGTTAAGGGGTTTCGGGGTTAGGAGTTAGGGTTTAGGTTTTTGGGGTGTAGGGCTTAGGAATTAGAGTTTAGGGGAATTTGTGCTCCGAGGAAAAATACCGTAGCGTGTCACAGGGCTCCACCCACAGAGCCCAATGCCCGGAAATAAAAGTGTATAACTCTAATGACAATGACAGACGGTGTACCCACCCGAAGCCCTAAACCCTTGGAAAAAGAAAGACACGCCCTGATCTTAGTCTGCGAAGCCGGGCAGCGAAGCCAGTGTTGCGGGAGGAAGCATAAACGCTGGTGGGGCCGATGATGTTGAAGGTTGGGGCAAGTTCGTTGCTGTGCTAACTTAAAGGTCCGGGGAAAAAGGCCCCTGCGCAGCAACCTTTTGCAGATCGACGCTCGTCACCGTTGTCATCATCCTTATCACCATTTGTCATCACCATTTGTCATCACATCGTTATCATGACCGTTATCGCCACCGCAATCACCAGTCTCATCATCGTCACCATTGTCATCGTCGTTGTTCTAACCATCGCTATCATCATCGTTACCATCACAGCCATCATCATCCTCGTCAACATCGTTGCCATCATCGCCATCGGTTCTGGGCCCTAAACTATGGGTTCCGGCATCTCCGAGTACAGGGCGTACCGGGCTGATGGCGTCTAACGGCGTGGTAGGAGCGGAACGTGCCCTCTTTGCGCTTTTCGGGGCGTAAGCAACACCGCGGATTCGTGGGGATCCCTAAAACCTAAACTTACAAAGATTTTAAAGCTACACTGGGAAGTATGCGAAAGTCAAGTGGTGTCCTGATGTCAGAACCCCAAACCCCCAAACCCTGAGACCCAAAAACTCCTAAACTCCCCCAAAGAAGCCCTCAGCGCTTAAACCCTGAATCCGATATAAAACAAAAAACCTAAACTCCTGAATCCCCAAACCACCTGAACTCCTAGACTCCTAAACCTCGACCCCCTCCCCCCTAAACTCCCAAACACCCCCAAGAAACGCTCCCCCAAACGCCAAGAGTCAAAGGCGGAGTCCGCGAGAACTTTCGCCGCTTCGTCCGCCGTCATTTGGAGGATGGACACGCGGCTACTCCAGGGCTCTAAAGATCGCCGCGCCTCGGCCTTTTAAAGGGCTTTTGGGTTTAGGGTTTAGGGTCTACCTACCTACCTACCTACCTATCTAGCTATCTATCTGTCTATCTATATATGGGAGATCAAAGATCGCCGTGTGCCTCGGGTTTTCGGGTTTGGGTGCTTCGGGTTGTAGGGCTTTGGGGCTTAGGGATTTCGGGGGGTTGAGGGTTTTGGGTTCAGGATCACCAGAAAGCCCAAACCAAGAGAGGCCCTGTGCGGACGGGAGACCCCGAGGAGAGCGGGAGGTGCTTGTTTTCGGAAGGCCGGGTATGGGCAACAGAATGGGTGGGGGTCCGAAGACGAAGATCAAAACGCTGATGCTGACAGAGTCGCGCTGTTGTGATAGAAACTCCCGCGAATCCAAAACGACTGCATCGTGAACCGTAGGGAAGTGCTCCTCAAACCTAGCAAGATCCATAGAATTGGGGGTATTAAAATTGTTTCGAACGTCCTGCTTGAATGCCAATCGAGCGCAAGACGTGTTCCCTGAAGACGAAACGCAGTTCTGAAAGCCTGACAAACCTCCCAAACTCGAACCTCGCTCACCCTGAGGCTGTGTGGGGAGATGCCTATACACGCATGCACACACACAACATATCTACAGAGACGGACAGACCGAGAGAAAGAGAGAGAGAGAGAGGGAGAGGGGGGATACATATATGCAATGATATATATATATATACACACACACATACATACATATATATATATACATACATACATACATACATACATACATACATACAAACACGTGTACACATACATACATACATACATACATACATACATACATACATACATTCCATTCCATTCCATT